CCGCCGCGCTTTATTTCCTTTTATGAAAGGCCAACGGGCCAGGGGGAGACAGGGAGAGAGGAAGTGAGAGAGAGAGAGAGAAAACTCGGCACGGAGTGAGCGAGCTGAAATCTTGAATTAAGCCGCAAAAATATCCCGCGCTCTCTCCTTCGTGCCCTTTCTCCCCTCCGCTCTTAATACGTGCACGGACTACCGCTGGCAACGCAACAGCGGAGCGGCGCGTTATGAAATTGGTGTGGATGTACTTCGCCGGCGCAGGTGTTAAATTGCACGTCGGGGCAACCGAATGGGATACGCTCTTTGCGATTTTGTCGGTTTCCGGACGAGAAAGCTTTCCGTGGCGTCTGCGAAAAAGGCGGGCGTAATTATAGCGCGCATTGACCCGACGGAGGATGTGAGAGAGGGAGGGGGGAAGGGGGGGGAGGAGAAGGGAAATAAAGTCGCGAAGGTGCAGTGTGGGGATCAGTTGTTTGGCCGAACGTTTGCACGCGTATTTCAAACCTACGCGCGCACGTTTGTTCAGACGCGAATTTATGGAGCCGACGTCACGCGCTTCCGGTATCAATGCGACTCTGCAGAGAGAGAGAGAGAGAGAGCTGCACACTGCGGCCTGGAACGTCGTAATCTAAGATGAGAGGACGAGAAAAATAGAAAGAAGGAAAAGGAAGATACAATGATGCGATACGTAATATAACCGCGCTGTATATCGAGAGAAAAGCCGAAAGAGCACGGCGGATGCGATCGGGGATCTCGTTAGATCGTTTCCGCCATCGCCGCTTATAGCCCGGCTGTGTAAGCGAAGCGAGGAAAAGAAACAGGTCGCGCGACTAAAAGTCTGGAAACGCGGCAAAGTTCGCGAGGGAGTAACGAGCGGAAAAGTCGTGCAAACAAGTGGTGCTCTGGATTTCCCGGTGAATGAGAAATACGAGCAATCAGCTGTTCCCGAAGAGATCGGAGGGCGCGCGAGAGTTTCCCTCGGAGAGAGGGAGGCAGGGAAAAGGGCAGGGAAATACAAATGCGCCGAAAGTTCGCTCGTCGGATCTTCCGCTTGACGTCGCAGTGGCGGCGGCGGCGGCTCTTCTTACTACTTCGCCCGCGCCGCCGCCACCGCTAGCAGCGTCTCGAGAGTCGACGGCTTTCCGTCCCGAAGTCATCAGCTACCTGTATGCGCGCGAAAAACTCCCGAAGCAAGTCGAGCGAGGCGAGGTGCGCTCTCGTTTCGTTCTCGTGTGACAAATCACCTGTCCCGAGGAGCGCGTTTCCGCTTGACGCCGAAGCGCGGCGAAAGGTGAAATTGCAGCGAGCGCAAAAACGCGTCGCGCGCGCACGGGGCCAGCCGGGGAATTGTGTGCTATCTCTCGGTGAATTTCGCCCGCGAAGCAATTCGCGGCTCCTCTCGCCCGGGTGAAAGCAGTTTACGAAATTACGCTCCGTTTACTTAGCACCGATAAGTTATCCGCGACGGCCGATGACAATACCGAGAAAATACTGCTTAATCTTTCCATAAATCGCGAGCATGCGCGCGTCGATAATTGAAAAATACTTAATGCCGGTGAGAATGGTCTCGTACGACACGGTTCTTCATGAAAACTTGAAAATGTTTCCGCAACGGAAGTGTCGTGCAGTAGGTTATTATTTATGACGGCTTTTCAGTTTTCGACATATCTCAAATTAAAATCCTATTAAGGCATTTGAAAACGGTCGAAGGAAATAATTTTGTTTTCCATCCGGTCGTCCGAAGTTCAATTCGCGGCAAACTCCCGCTTTTCCGATCAGAAATTATTAATGCCTCGACGCTTTCTCGTTAAAAACCCGATCGTTTAACTTTCACGAAGAATAATGCTATGTAAATAGTTTAACACTCTGTATAGACATTATGTGTATTACGCCGTTAATATTTTCAGTTCTAAATGATATCTCTCCATTGTCAACATGGAGCTGTCCATCGGCTTCGCGGAGTTGAAGACGGTATTCCGAGAAAATCCTCGTCCGCATCCACGGCGAAAAAACGTTTCTCAAAGGGAAGCTGAATGAACCGCGGAATACTCTGGCGCAGATAGATACTCCCGCGGTCTCTCAGGAATCCTCAACAAGGCGCAACAATAGGAACGTAATAATAAATAGGGTCATATGGAAACGCAACAATGGTAGCGTAACAATAAATAGAACGTGATAGAAAGACAGGAATGAGCTAGGACGTGTAATAATTTCAAATCATCGGCATGCGAGACGCGAGTGGAATCGTTCGTGCTGAAAATTTCGTGAAAAATATTGCGTCACTTGGAGTCAACTCGTCGATTCTCTGAACACTCTCGCATCGGGATGTGCTATACGCGAACGATCTCTCTCGTTAATATCGAATTACAATATCGACATGATGAAAAAAAAAAACGGTACTCATCTTCACATCAAATAATTGATTAGGTTCAGCAAATTCCGTGCTTGCCGGGACAAACTTCATTTTTGCTCAACCGAGCAAATTTGATTGTGCGAATTACGGCTATAGACTGGATATAAACTGAAGAAGAAAAAACCTCCAGTTTCGACAGTAGTGAATTTTCACTTCGTGTTGTATCACCCGATCGAAAATAGTCCAAAATTGGAGAAACGGCCGTGGAGAGACAGCAGTTTACATTCGTACGAGCGATATCCTCCGACGTCGAATTTCACTCGCCCGGAGTGTCTCTACTCGCGAGGTCACGTGAACACGCGAGCGCGCTAGCTCGCAATCAAAATTATATCGCTCAGATTCTCCGGTTACAGGAGCCTAATGAACATTTCAACAGACGCCAGCTGACGCCGCGGAGGTGAGCTATTAATTATTTATCTGGCGTTTGTTGAAATTCAATAGCATCGACGAAATACGGCTCTCGCGCGACGCGCCGCGCTACAGTCGACTCGCGCGGAAGGCATCGAACATTCTCAGGAAATGAAACTTAGTTCGAAACAATTCGCAATCCTCGCGATGGAATCGCGAGAGGGCGGATGGGGTAGGTCGTGGCTCGTGTTAAACTGGAAATAGTGGCCCGGCAATGTCTGCGGAGATTGGCACGGATCCAACGGATTCACATCGCGCTCTACACGACGAAATCCGAAGTCAACTATACGTTAATCTTCTGCCAGCGTGCGCTTTTCATTTTCCACCTCTGTCTCTTTCTCCCTCTCCTGGACTCTTCGAAAGAGATTCATCTCCGCTTTCATCGACTGTTTCGTATTTTTATCAGCCGGTATCCTCCTCATCGTCGCGGCGACGCTCCGCGGGATTTAGGAAGAAAGGCGTACGAAACTCGGACAATTTTTCCCGGAAATTTTAACTCGAACTTCAAATTTCTACCGTGGCAGGAGAAAGAGAAAAAGAACCTTCCTAACTCAGTCCGTTTTGCGTTCGCCGGCTGGGGAAAGTAATAAATTGTTAATCGGATACTTTTTGGGAAAGTTGTTCGTAAACAAAGGCGTATCGCTCGGAGCTGAAAGTCTCTATAAATTTCTGAATCAAATTTGGCGGCCTTTCAAGAAGTTGATTACACGACAACTGTGCGAACGGCGAACTGCGCGAGGTCACTTCCGTCCTCCTCTGCTTCTTGATTCTTCTTGGAAACCAAAGTTTTCGTCCCCTCCTTCTAACATTTACCATTTCCGCGGAGCGTTAATACAGAATGAAACAAAAGTGTTCTTACTCCATGGATTTTTCATCGTGAGGAAGCGGGAGAAGAAGGGTTGAAACGTGTCGCTCGTCCGAAAATTTTCGCGCGACGTATCTCCGGCAAGAAATGGTCGCGGAATTTAATCCTTCGAGGTAGAGCGCGCTCGCTCCGAAACTACGGAAAATGTTCAGGGATCTTCGAAACGAGGCGGAAGCGTCGTTCCACCGAGTGCCTCCATGAAACTTCTGCGCGCGCGTTCCCGACGAGATCGATTTAACATTCAGATTTCGCGACCGGCGCGAAATGTTCGCGGAAAAATGCCGAGTGCGGGAGTACGGTCGTCCGAACGCGATTATTTCGCATAAACCGGCCGACTCGAGAGGATTACAGGTCGCCGAGAGGATTAAAGGCGCGATGATCGCGACCGGGCGGCGAGAAGTTTCAACCGTGCATCCGCTCGCGCAATCGCGGCGATAATTTATTTCCGACGAGGACGACGGAAGCGGGGCCACGATTTCTGGCGAGTGCGTCGGAACGGTGGCAGTTTCGGGGGATCGAAATTGGCGTAGGTCCAGGGTGGATTCGCCGCGCGACACCGACGCCCAGCGTCGTCGTTTCAGTGCCTACGAAAAAGCGAGCGGACTCTTTTAAGCTCCTCCGCTCTCCACGGTCTACGGCCATCACGATCCATCTCCGCTCCTGCCCGCGGGCGTCCTCGAGTGCGTTGTGTCGAGGACTCTAAATGGAATTGGCAGCGCGCCAGTGAATACCCGCGCTTCGGCGAAATGGGATTTTTCGTTCGGCACGCACGAGATACGTTTACGCCTCTCGTCGTTTCCTCCGAGCGATTCGCGCGCGAGATCGTTTGTTCGCGAGACGATTTTCTCGTCCCGAGGCGGGCACTCGAGTCTCGCGAGCCGATCGAAAACGCGAGGTGTTCTCCGTCGATCTTTCTCTCTTTCTCTCTTTTGCGTTTGGTGGGTGGAATCTGTGTACGTGGCCAATTCAAAAAGTCTACGCGGGAAAACAATTAGTATCAGTTCAAGACTCACATTCTCATATATAAGCAAAAATTGTCGTAAATTCTCTTCCTGTGACCAATGAAAGCCTTCATTTCCAAATGAACTTAATACGGCCTCAAATTCACTCTCCAAATATCTCAAAATGAGGGAGAAATTTTGTTGAAAACAAGTCACTTTGATTTTTGCGAAAGTTTGGCTATTTTAATTTTCAAGAGAAAAATTTTGAGAATAAGATCAGACTGGATAGTGGACTTAATATATATATTTATTGAGGTGTCTCGGGGCAAGTGTGAAAGGCGAATCAAATTGTTGACGTGTCACAGCCGACACTTACCGCCGTGCACCTCGCACACCAGGAACAAGTCGGCTCCCTCCGGATAAGCCTCGAGGAGTTTGCTCATGTCTCGCCTCTTCGCGTCATAGATTATCGGCTTCGCCGGTGGCACTGCAAGCAGAAAACGAAGATACATGAGGGCGATATGCATGTTTTCCAGCTGTCGAGGATCGAAGCCGCTGTAAATTCGTGTGATAACGGACGGCTTATTTTCATAACGTTTCCACTAATATAACGAAACGTGTTACACCGCATTTTTGATATCACAAATCCATTTGTAATATGCGCAGAATTAATTAACACATTTAATAAATATAACGAACATCAATATTTAATAAACACCACATTTAACGTCATAAATATAATATAAATAAAACGGAGAAACGGAAACGTAATCTCTAAAATAAATATTTAATTCCCGACGTGCCGCGCTTCCATTCCGCGACAGCTCGTACGTATTTATTTTTCCTCATTAATCGCCAACGGAACAAAACACTTTTACACGGGAGGGAAACGCATTTCAGCCTCTGTACATAGCCCCGAGCTGCTGTAATGGGCGGAACGAGGACCGGCGAGGAAAGAGAGAGGAGCGGATGACGTAGAGTCTTCACCTGACTGACGTCGCCAGACTCGCCGGTTCACTTTCATCACCCGGCCGATCTGCGATACAGCCGAGGTAAACGCAAACAAGCCGACGCGAAAGTCTCGTCCCCGATATGTCGCCCGGATGTTGGATGGAAATTGCCTTCGGCTATTGTCGCAACGACGCCACTCGACCTGCGCGCGCGCCATTCATTCATGCATCCTCTCTTCCCTTCGTACGAGCGCGGTAAAAGCGAGAAAAGATCGCGCGAAGCCGCGCAGGGAGCTTTCGCGGGAAGGCAAACTCGATAAGCGAGCTCGATAAGTGCAGGACCGATTTCGACGGCGAAATATGCGATGCGTTGCGGAGGGTTTACTCGGCACCGAGGCGACACGTGCGCGAATATCGCACGTTCTCTCTGTCTTCCTCTCTCCCTCTTTCACCCTCTTGATCGCGACCATCTGCGACGGTGGTTGTGAGCCACGCAAGGATTGACTTTGCTCCGAGACGCTGACGCTGGCGCGAGTCGGAAGCCCGCAGAAGTGTTTATGTGCGCGCCGATATTTCCGGGACGTGTTTCGCAAATGCAAACTGCGAAGGTATCGTTGACTTGCGTTTGAAGCTAAGAAGCTAGTATGTGATGAAGGATACGAGAATGAGAACACCGCGTGATTAACGTATCAAAGGCGAATCTTCGTCACGTCGCCGCTCGTGTCTACTTTCTACGATCAGTTGGAAGTAAAGACTCCCTTTTTTGGTTTCGGTACACTGTGAGAGGCCACGAGGCTTTATCGAAGGAGAATAATTAATTCTTAATCCTTTAATCATTCAATTTTAGTCTCTTACGTTCGACGAATTGAAAAAAAAGCACACTCGAATTTATGCTGCAATTTTAGACAAAATCGTAAGACTCGTAACTTATTTCCGTAAGACTTTGTAAGAACTTATTATTGAAATTGTAATTCTATACATATCGTAAGACATGCGATCACTCACAATCACTCAAATATCTACGATTTCTTGTAAATTTTACGGCCAGCAAATATCCGTCTGCAAGTCGTAAGTATTATGAAAAACCTCTTAATAACTGTCAAAAAATTCGTGAGTTACGATTTTACGTTATATTCATATATTTGCTTAGAATCGCAGCATTAGTTTGTTATGATTTTTACGATCGTCATCATCGCCGTGAAACGAGCCAATTAAAAGCAGCCAATTAAAAGCAGCTCGGCTCATTAGGGCCTCTCGTCGCACGTACATGAAGAGATATCGCACTCGTGGATCGAGGCGATTAAATTAGCGCGACGTGGGGAAAGAATTCGATAATCGGCGGCCGAATAATTGCCGCCTCTCCGGCGCGCGATACGATCGCCGTGCCCGAGGAATCGATACGCCGAGGAGCACGAGTTTCCCGGCTCGCGGAGAAGTTCTCCGTAGGAACGTCGTGGCACCCACGGGATTCCGCAGACGGACGTCGTAATCTCGACGGAGATTACACCGAGGGCGGCGCAGAACCGACGCGAGGCGACGCTTTAGTGGCGCTAATACCCGGCATTCACGGTCTTTTATAGCGGCGTTTATCCCTCGGAAAGATATCCGTCGGTGGTCCCGAGACGTCGTCGGCTCTCCCAACGTTCGCCATTGTTACGCTGACAATCGACTCCGCTCGCGAGAAAAAGCCGAGAGACGAAGCTCGCCGTTGCGCGGACGTGAGTCGCGTCTAATCCGAAACGCTCGCTCTCCTTCTCTCGCCATCTTCCACCGGCGATTCTCTTCCCGAAATATCTTCGTCGCATTCTCTATTTCACGACCTTATCGCCTCGCGTTCATTATTTAACAGAGTTTTTCCCCGCCGAGTCTCCGAAATTCGACATTTCGATTCTTCAGCTGGCCGGCCGACCGCAGTGTTTCCCCATCGGTCGTTACGAAGCTACGCTAATAATTGAGCAATAAAACGAACGAGCGAACGAGCGGGCAAGCAAAGTGACGCTTCTCGTATTGCCTGTAATTAACTTTTATATATCAGCAATTAATAATCCATCGCGCATTACACCGGGTCTCGTCATATTTTGCAACACTGTCCGGCTGGTATCATGGTGTAAAACCGGTATCAGTATTAATTAGCAATAACTTCGCGCTAGCTTTCTATGGTTAATTACGAAATAAATTGCTGTCACGGATACTAATCTCATGAATATTCAGACGAGCGATGCGCTATATAGTCCATACGATATTATCATATTATTATTATTCTAATGCGCACATATTATCGACATAATCGACCGATTATAAGCCGACCGATCAAAGAAGGGACTCCGATCGTCGTCAGGATACCGTCGACGGAAGCAGCGCGGAAGCAGCCGGGGGTACCTATCGCAGAGCGGCGAATTTTTTTCTTCTCACGCCCTCCGGAACATGCGTCTCTGCCCCTCGGGGAGAAGAGCGCTCGTTAATCTTTCATTCACCCTCCGGTCGAGTTTTACATATTTATTGCCGTCTCCGTATGCACAGCTGTTTTGCTATTCGGTCCGTTACGTCGTCGAGCTCGCGGCATCGACAACCCCCTCCTCGCTTGTTTCGAAACCAAAATCCAAAGTCGTACAAGCTGCTCAGTACAAAGCCGAGCCGAGGGAGACCCGGTACGATCCCTCTCATCCCCGTTCACCGGTCCTCCACTCCGCCCTCGTCGGTTTCTGGATATGATTCGCGGGATTCTCGCGTGTCTTCCGCGGGGAGAAGCGCTGAATCGTCGTGGTGGCTCACGTAGGTGGAGGGTAAGCCGCCGATCCGCACCCGCGAATCCCATACCAACCGGGTCTCCCGCGGAATTTCATGCGGAGGATGGGTTAGGGGGAGGGAGAGAGAGAGAGAGAGAGACAACGAAACTGCGCTAGGTTAACGTATGCATGCCTCGGCGCAGCTTTCGGCAGGAACTTTTCCAGAAATTCCGCTATGTACGGAGCGGAAGAGGAGCCGCGGGAATACGCCGCTGTCTTGTCGCTGTCGGCGGCCGGTTATAAACGAGAGGCATGAGATGACACGGTCCGAGAGTGCTACTTGCTAGTTTCTCGCTTCTTTCCTTCCTTTTTCCCTCCTTTTTACGACGACTACAGCGAACGGTTATTACTTCCGATTACTACTTCCGAGGGCCATGAGAAATCTGCGGAATAAAAGTAAAGACGCGGCTAAGGGGGGAGCTGTTTTATTAGACGAGGAAGCGGCTGAAAAATCGGTGAGTCGGGAAATCAACAGGCCGCTGGCCTGTTTCGCGCTGAGAGGAGGCTCGCGAGGCCGGGCGGTGAAATTCGAGAAGAATTCGCCCGATGGGCGTACAAACCTGCCGCGTCTACAAGGGCTGGCGCGCGGAGAACAAGATGAGGATCGATGAGTGAGCTTCCGGCCCACGGGACCGAAAATCTCACCGGGCGCGCGGCGCGCTTCCAACGACAACGTGTAAACCGTTCGGCCGGCAACACAATAGCGGGCCGGAGGTCCGACGGACCGAGGAAAATATATTGCTAATAGGGTTTGCAACACGGCCCGTTAGTCGAGAGTAATGCCTTACCACGGTGGCACACGTTAAGCTCGTTTAACGAACCACCCCGCCTAGGTCTCGCTCTCTCGCGCTCTATCCTGCTCTCTCTCTCTCTCTCTCTCTTTCTTCCTCACTCGTTCTCCCGCTCGTCCGCCGCCACCTTTCGTCTTTTTTGCTCGTCTACTCTCCCGCGTTCGTGCTTCCGTGGACGTCGATTAGATTTATGGACTTCCATCGTGTGTCACGCACTCGCTCTCTCCCCCCCCCCCCCCCCC